GAAGCTAAACCTGGTGGTGCGGCAATGTTGGAGATGCTGGCGGGAGATGAACCAGGAGAATGTCCATGTGGGAGCTCATTCGATGCACAGGACCAAGATTCGTGGCTTGTATGCGAGTGGTGCGATGGTCGGGTGACCGGGTCTAAGAAGGCCACTGAAGAAGAGGAAAAGGCGAAGGATTTTGTACCGAATGAGGAGGACGAAGACAAGGAGGGTGCCTGGCCGGAACATCTTCCAGATGGTGACCGTCCCAATCTGAGTGGCACTCTGATTGACCAAGCCATCGTGGCTGCTGGCTCTGCCGCGCCTCGTGGTCTGCATCGACACTTCGTCTGTCACGAGTGGCTTACCCGGAAGCAACATCTGCAGATGGAAGCATACAAAAAGAAAATGGAAGAGGGCAAGGAGGAGGAATTCGATTTCTATTGGTCCCGCCATTGGAGGTAGAGAAGCAGTAGCGGGGAAGTTAGGGGTCCGGCTTACGATGTATATCGGAGCTGCTCTAATATCATATTATACACTAGCATCCACTCATAGTTCAATGAAAGTAGTCGAACAATAATGGGAGAGGCCAGACGATCGAAGCAAGATCTGTTTGTCACATACACTTCTTTGTAGTCAAACTAATTTTACCATAGCAAGCGTCCATGGACTGATCTAGATATTCATATACGTCATCAAAGTGTACCATCCATGTTGTGCACTGAACATAAGCTTCTCAACTAGGAGGCGAACTTGTACAAGACATAGAGATCCACACACGTACACATACACTTCCGTCTAATGTCTCATAACACATTCTTCCCCTTTCTAGACGATGCCGCCTACTCCCGTCGCCGCAACGCCGAACTCATGCTTGCGTACCAGCGGCAGAAGAAGAAAATCGAAGCAATGGCACCCTTTCGTACGCCCGATTTGGAAGCGGAATACAGTACCAAGTATAGGGATCTACATGCAAAATTGGGCGGTGTGCGAGAGCGCGACAACATTGTGAGGGAGGCGATGAGAATGACACTGGGGAACATGACGCGAGATGAGATCATAACTTGGAGCTTGAGGAGTGAAGCATATGGTAGCGAGAGTAGGTACCCGAAAGGTGCGATATAGCACATGATGGGGTCAGTGGAGGTACAGTCGTCTGTGGAAGCTATGGTAGTGAGGAGATGTATTATTGATACGAACATTCTGTGCTTCTAAACGCTAGCCATTCTTGAGCGCCGATGATGCAAATGCTGGTGCTACGCCAGACCGAGACACCAATTACGCTAATACGCCCAACATGCAAAACGCCATTACCCAAGATGGGTCAAAAGAAAAAACGACGACGCAGACATCTATGCTTCTTCTTGAGCCGCTGGCATCCCTGACCATGCAGTCGATGTACAGCTCGTGCGCGCCTCGTGTTCATCAGCCTTCCTCGCATCGCGAACCGCAGCGTCGACGGCGTCGTGAAGATCAAGATGGAAGAACGGCCTATCAACCCCGTAAATCGGGTAGAACTTCTGCTTCTCACTCGTAGAAGACAACTGCATTTCAAGTGCATTTGTTTCAGTGGAGTCCTTGCCCTGCTCTTCGTCCCTGGTTCCCATTGCCCTTCGTGCAGCTTCTACTTCTTTTCCCTCTTCGCATGTCGCGCCTGCGAGACTTGCCGACACGGTGTAGGCTGGACACCAGTTTCCTGTATATTCCGCAGTTACGATAGCCGGGAAACCAAAACCTGCAAAGGCGAGCGCTTTGCGTGTCCATCGGTTGTGAACACCAGCAAAGTGCCATTCGACCAAACCGGGCGCTGCATGGCGTTCAAGCGTCTCGCGTAAGCTCTTCAATCCGTCGATGCTGGTAATGTCGAGAATATTGACTGTGGAGAAGTCAAGAACAACGGCTCGCAATACGGGCAGACATGACGACTCTTCGATGAGCTTCTCCGTGGGTGGCGCGTCGCACCACAAACGATCGCATGCACGGATACCGTCATCTGCTTGTGTTCGGCGGGTGTTTGAGGTAATGTAAGAAGTAAGGTAGTCGACGTGGTAAGCTTGGTTGATGTAGTTGAAGTTCTCGCTGAAGCGATAGATGAAGACGCCGGGGTATGCTGGCTCTACGGTGATGTTCGGGTTATGGTTGTCTGTGACGTCGTAGGGCATATACACTTGCCGAGCTTCCTGTATAGCTACAGCACGATGCGTCTGTTCCCCGTGTGGTTGTGAAGACAGCGACGCGCTTGATGTCGACACGGACTGATCGCAGGAGCGGTCGTCGCGCACGATGCGCGTCACCTCAACAGCACCTCGGAACTTGCCCGGGCTTTTCGCCATGCGGACGAGCAGCATTGCAAAGGAGAGACCAACGGTAATGTAGATCGCCGTCTCGAGATCGGTGAAGAATGCGATGACAACACCACAAACCCAGATGAATAGCTCGAACGGCGACAACTGGTAGTACTTGTGTAAGTCCTTTGGTCCTTTGATCAAATCGACGGTGGAGTGTATGATCAGACCAGCAAGCGCTGCGTTCGGGATGTAGTAAAAGACAGCTGTGAGCGCATACAATGCCAACACTAGGACGACTGCGCTGAAGACGCCGGATAACGGAGTGCGCACTGCAGCCTTGGAGAGAACAGCAGAAGCACCGAAAGAGCCTGTACACACATAGCCACCCACAAAAGGACTCAGTATGTTGGCAGCGCCTTGTGCGATCATCTCCTGTGAAGGGATGACGGTATAGTTGTGTTTGCGTCCGAAGTTCTTGGCGATGGCGATGTGTTCGACGATGAGGATGATGATGATCGCCGGGAGTTCTGTAGCCACCAAGCCGAAGAGCTTTCCGTCCATCTTTGGCACACCTGCATGGCTGAAACCCTTCTCAATATGACCTACGATCCGGAACTTCTCTTTGCCTGCAGGTGTCGTCCTATGTACCAGCCAGCTGATAAGGGTGTACAACAAGATAGTGAATGTAAGACGCAGCGAGGAGATCATAGACCACATCTTCTTCTTCCGAGGTTGTCGCACCTCCATCTTAGCGCATAGGTTCTTGATCAAGTATAGGAGTACGATGGATGTGATACCGATCGCCGCATCCAGTCTTGCCGTGGGTAAGCCCTTCAAGAAGTTGACGTACACCTTGTACGGAGACTCACGCGTGTTGATCCCTGTAATGCCCATCAAAGTCGGCAGCTGTGTCGAGATGATAGTAATACTGGCCGAGGTGACGAATGCTGAGATGGGAATGTACGGGATGAACTCGATGATGAAGCCGAGACGAAGGATACCGAAGACGAGGATAATGGCGCCAGCAAGGAAGCTTAGCGCATGTGCAATCTCCTGAGGTTGATACACCCCTGGATGTTCCGCTTCAACTTTGCTGACGGCGCTTCCAATCAGCAAGGACCCAACTGCTGTCGTCTATTCTTGGATTAGCTGGTTACCCCAAAGTGACGTGAATAGCTTACACCGATGACGATATCTCTAGATGTACCAAAGATCCAATATAAACACGCGCCTGTAAACGTAGTGTAAAGACCAAAGGCGGGTGACAGCCGCGCAAGCGAAGCATATGCCATGGCTTGTGGAACAACGACAAGACCGACCGTGATACCTTCATTTTCTTTAGCAATGGCCAGCAAGGGGTCCAGGTGTTTTGTAAATACCAGCGATAGCATCTCCAGCCAGCCAATGTAAGTTATACCGCCTCAGCCACCGTGCGCTCGGGAATAGTTCGCGTACATACTCTGCGGCGCCATGTGAGGTGGGAATGAATTCGCGGAACCATTCTGCTACCGATGGATCCTCTTCGATGTACGTCTCGCCAACTGTTTCGTGCGCTATGTCTTTAAGGGAAGTCCTCTGCGCACTGCGGTCTTCTGAAAAGGTGGGCAGATATTTCATTATTCTGCTGTTGACGTCCGTAGTTATGTGTGTGGATGCAACCAGGCTACCAGAGAAGAACTGCGACCTTAAATTGGTAGGCGCATGTACGCCGAGTCAAAGTGATGTAACAAAAATAAGGGTTGTGGCAGTTGCGTCCGGTCAAACTTGGTACGCCAATTTGGGAGGTCGTGGAATTAATACAATGACAAAGTTGTTTGCAGAGAGGAAAGAGGAAATCACCAGGTTATGAGTAGACGGACCGAGCGTCTCTGTAGGAATCGGGACGTGTTATCCATTGAATTGACGCACAGTCATGCGCTGTGCTTGGAGCATTTCACCGATGTTCCGAAAGTTCTCTTCGGGCGAGAGGTCTTGGCAGAAGTCGCGCCGATAAGATACTGCAACTCACCGCCGTCACTGCCATCTCGAAACGCGATACGCGTGTGAAATGTCATGATTCGATCATTTCGAAAATATTGAGTCTCTCTCGTAGTGTTTTGACGTCTTCATACGTTCAATACGCGTAGTGAATATATCCAGTCGCGACGCGTGAAGCTCGGTACCTCGCCGGCAGGTCTGGCGAGATCCGCGGATTCACGAACGCATCTTGGCAAAACGGAAGTCGGTGTGGCAAAGCCGCAATTGGACGATGTTGGGACGTGAGGAGGTGCAGGTGATGATGGGGATGCGGCGACGAAGCGATCAGGAACAGTGTTCTGGTCCATGTGTCAGTGCCAAGCTTCACGCCACGACACTACGGCAAGCTTCAGGGGTCCACTTCGAGCAAGTGGTCGTGCGCGCTGCGGGGGGAACCAACAGTTTCGTCACCTGGTCATCTGGATGTTCGACTGACAGACGACATGAAGCTATCGCTGGCTCAATTATTGGTGTATCGACTAGAATACGTTCTTTGATCTGCTGCTATGTGTGTAAATACCTAGGTAGGCTAGAAACTTCTCCCGAGGAAGAGCGGTCACGGGGAATTCCTATAACTAGACGTAACAAGCAAATGTACATCGCATATGGCGATCATCTTGGTATGTATCTTGCCGAACGGGACTAAGTTCACGCATTCACCGGTGGTGCCCTGCGTGATTCTACAAGGACAAGCGTGCAGCAGACTCAGGACTCTTAGTCCAGTCCCCATGGATCTTCGAAGCCAGCAGCTGACTCGACGTCTTCCAGATCTGGTAGATCATCGTCATCGTCGCCATCTTCGTCCTCGCCTTCGTCCTCGTCCTCGTCCTCTGAAACGTCCCCCGCGTGAGCATGCATAGAGTCCTTCTCGTCGCAGATACAGCAAGTACATTCAACGTGCTCACCCTGGATTCTCTTCCACTGGCGGATCATAGCTCGCCCCAAACGTTCTCCGCGGATGCACTCGCCGTTCACGTACACCGAAAGAGACCCGTCGCGGTTCTCAGCGTAGCCAAACTCGTCCAGAGGTAGACCCGCAAAGTCAGCCGCCGAATGGTCCTCCTCGTCATCTCCGTTCTCGAGTTCCTCTTCTTCTTCTTCGCTGTTATATTCGGCGTTCTCACTGGTGGCATCATCCTCGGTGCCCTGCTCGAGCTCTGTGATCTCGCCTTTGCACCAGTTGCACATGACTTTTGGCATGATGTCTGGTGTGAACTCCGTTCCGCAGCTACACACATGGATGTGGCCTTGTCCGACCTCGCTTGCTTTTACACCATGACAGCGTAGCTTGTCATCAACGTTTACCTCCTCGATGTAGCAGTGCATACACAACCATCGGTCTAGGAAGCGCTTCCGTAGGGTGCAGGAACAAGGCGCCACACCTTGATTCTGGCGTTCCAGGTAACAGGAAGGGCATGCGAGGTCTTTGCGCTTGTTGACAGTCAGATTGAGAAATGAGACGATGTTATTGCCAGAGTAGGGGAATTGTGTACGCCCACGGGGACTGATGAACTGGTGGGTACCCAAATTCAGATCGAGAATCGGCTCAATCGGCTCGGGATCGCCTAGAGCACCGATCGCTAGGGGAATGTGCACGCGGCCCTGGTCATGGCGAGGTAGCATCTCGTTGACAGGTAGATGCCAGGCGCTGCCATCGGAGTTCTTAGGTGGACATACTGCAACAGCCATGGGGTTGAGGAAGTAGTAGCCTGCCCACCATCGACGCTGATCGAGCCCAGAATCATCTGTCATGAAGTTGTAGAAAACATGGATGCGACACTCGTCGCAAGTGTTGACACCACATCCCACACACGGGTGTGACTCTGTTCCAAATCCACCTTTCGAGCAAACCATCACAGGATGGAATGTCTTCGCTGGACAGGGGCAATGAGTAGACATCCTGACGAACGAACCGAATCCGGAGCACAGTGTCTTAGAAAGAAGATTGGCTTTTGCGCTCGCATTGTCCATGCGAATGTGGCCATGAATAGTTTGGCAGAGCTGGGTAAGAGTGACGAGTCTCTCCGGTACCAGGAGCGAGACTAGGGCCTGCAGATCAAAATTAGCAAGGCGCATAGAGTAAGAGGCTCACGGAAGTATGCCTTACTTCCTGTATTGGATACAAAGCCAGGGCGACCGCGAGGGGATTAGTGACATTTGATACCGCCGGCGGTAGCGTCCAGGCGCGTTGCGCTGTCTGCTGTACTGACAACATCGCACAAGGCCTTCTTGAATGCTTTCAGGACTGCGGAGAGTGTTGAAGCAGTCGCAATCGCAGTAGGGCACGCCTGCACTGTCTGCTTCGTCGAAAGGATCGTTCAGGCACGTCTATTCAATTAGCGTTTGGGGTTACTTCCACATTGCAGGGGCGCGAAAGTGGAAGACGGGAGTGAGTGCAAAATGGAATCAGGTAGGTACCCGAGTGACGTCGTCGCGAAGTAAGAGCAGGAGAGCTGCGTGGCCCAAGTAGGCAGTCGCACATGGCACGTGCGCCAGTAGCAAACAAACACAATATCCACCCCCAAGTGAGATTAACAGCCACGGTGTCATGCCAACCTGGGAAAAGCTGAAAAGGTCTGCAAGCTAATACAAAGTAGGAGACCTAACGTTGATGTAGGCTCCGGGCCTGTTCAATCTTTTTCCATGTATGAGTTGCCACGTTCAATTCGTTGTTCAGCAACCTAGCCTCTCCAAGTGAGACCTTATATTAGTTGACCCTGTCTCACCTAGAACTGCATTGGCAATTTACTCCTTATCACACACTTCCGACATTTCCCACGATCCCTTTTAGAAGCTCAGGGACCATGACCGCCGCATCACCTTTGAACATCCAGTCGCCTGCCCAAACGCATCCAGGCTCGTCATAATACTCTTCCATATTGAAATATGCGACCCTCGCACCAGCGTTCCGAGCCTTGGGTATATACATCGCCGCCGGAAGGACGACGCCACTCGTACCGATTACTAGCAACAGGTCGAGAGGTTCAGAACAGACGAAAGTGTGTATAGCCTCGGTGAGGTTGCTCGATAAACTTTCGCCGAAGAGTACAACGCTCGGTCGCATGAGGCTGTCGCACCGGGGGCAATGAGGGAGCTGGGTATGATCGAGAGGAGGCAGAGGGACGGACGCGTCGCTGATGTCGGATGTGATCGTGAGCGCCTCGGTGGCAGGATAGGAGACGGGCGTATTGTAGTCGCAACGTTCGGTAGAGTCTGAGGCGTGCTTGCTGCATTTCATCTCGAACAGGGTGCCGTGTACTTGCGCGACCTGCTCGTCGGGTATGCCCGCTCGTTGACATAGACCTAGGTATTGTTAGTGGACATTATTCCGGCCTCTAGCCTTGAGAGCATGCTTACCATCGATGTTTTGATTGATTGCGAAGAATCCACTCTTTTCCTTTGCGAGTTTCGCAAGCGCGATGTGCCCCCGGTTTGGCTTTGCCTCTTGCGCGCGCTTCATCCGATCGCTGAAGAACCACCACACCTTCACTGGGTCTTGCACCAGGGCTTCGATATTCGAAAGCTCCTGAGGTTCTACACATCTCCATCTTCTGTCATCGCCGCGAAATGTCGAAAGCCCCGAAGCAACCGACAAACCAGCACCCACGAGGGCTAGAACGCGTTTCGATGATCGCAGGTACTGTGTGAAGGATGTGAACTCGTCCATGTCGATGTCAAGCGCCGGATCGGGGGTGGAAGTCCCGCGGAACTTGCGCGTCTCTTGCTTCGCTCGAAGTGCTGATGTCGCCTTCGATTTGGTAGTAGGTGAAGTCTGGGGCTTTCGAGGCGGGTTGGGGTTGATCTCTCCGAGCGCAGTCGCCATTTCCTTGGCATGGAAACTGCTTTCCGCTGTGGAAGATGCGTCGCTCGTCATGCTGTTGGGTATGCCGTTGATGCATAGTGAAGCCTTTGAGCAATGCACCTAGGTATACTGAGTGGACGCCTTACATTGTTTGAGATGACTCATATGAGCTTGATGTATCCGCGCACATCGCTTTGATCAAATTGCGATGACTCTGATCTCTACCTTAAAAATCGTTGGGTACATCGCGACGCTAATCTGCCGGAGGCGTCTGAGATGGTAACCTTGGAACGCATCGATGCATAACCATGGTAACAGTAGTGAGTGCACGATGTGTGTTTGTAAGGTGGCTCACATCTCGTTTCTCTGGAAGTAGGAGACCTGTAAGTCGAGGATATCTGAAAAGGACTTGGGTCATGACTATCGGCCGTACGTGATCTGTGGGAAATGCGCCGCGTCGGTGACGCGTGACCTCGGGAAGCGCAACGCGCGCATTCCAGCCGCGCGTTAATCAGCACCCGGATATCATGGAAATCTCATCCACGGTTGATGAGTGTTGCAACATATGTTGTACCATTAAGCTGAACGTTGTAACTGTACAGTGTTCAAATGAAATCTGTGAGGCCCGCTCGTAGTGTTGAGAACCGAGGTGCAAGTATGCGCGGTGCGGGCGGGCTGGGAATGGCGCGTCCGCGGGTGCAATACACTAATTACGTCAGCGACGCGGCTGACTGTCATCCGACCGCCCTCTTGCCGGCACATTTCATCAACTCCACGAAATCTGCATCAGCCATTTGCTTCTTCGGAGCTCAGTCGACTCAAACACCGTGAATTACACGTCGACGTACTCTCTAAATCCTAACGACATGATCGACACATCACTATGATACGCGCACCACCGACCCAGCCTCGTATCCCACGCCAAAGCTACGACGATAGTCTTCTACCGACCGCCCTACAACAGAATTACAGTTTATTATTTCAGTGGCGACTACACCCAGTGGTAAACGGCGGCAGTATCGAGTCCGACCAAGTGGATGACTGTTTGCTGCCTCTCTCCAATTTCGCCTAAATTCTCCACTCTTCCCAACGCGTTTGCGATACGTTCACACTCAAAGGCTATATCAACATTGATCAGCGTGGGGAACAATAAACGTTCCATGCAGGGATATACGTACAATCCAGGTTGCGGAAGTCTTTTGCTCGTAATGGAAAGTCGGCGATAGGCTCATTCGTCTTGACGTCGCGCATATGACCCATTCTCATCTCAGAAAGTTTGTATGTACTGTGATATTGGCGCATCGCGGTATTCCAGATACTGACATATGCTTGTTAATACGTGTTTCGATTATTTCGAATCCTCCCATATCACTCACTGTGCCTGAACCTGTTTGTTGAGAGCGACGTAGTTGTGATTCAATTGTCGTACCTTTTCGCATACATCGCAGACTTGCCCCAGCATGTATTCCATAGCTTGCTTGATGGCTCCATCGCGTTGAGTTTCTGGTAGGGTGCCGAAGGCGCGGAGTTGGGCAGCGGTTGCCTCAAGCTGCGATGCGATGTCGTTGGGGTTGTTCTCCATGAAGGCAGTGGTATGTTGACGTCTTCGATGGGCGAGTTCGAAGTGGCCTCTAGTCACCGAGGGGTCGGTCAGCCTTTAACAGCAACTCGCAACGTCCGTGCATCTGCGAAAGGATATTCGCGGGCTTTCCAGAATATTCAATATTGCGCGCTCTCCCTCGTGGTGGCTCTTGGGTGGTTCAAGCTCTCGATCCCCTCATAATCGTTACCTCACGTCGACCAAACATCCACTGAAGGGTCTCTTCAACATCACCTGCTCTTGTATGCCAACTTCAACATGCGCAACAAACGAGCTGAGCTCGCCTTTCTCGAGTCGCAGCTACACTCTACAGTCGGTCAGCTGCATGCCATTTCCATCATCCCTTTGACTGCTGCTATGGAGTCCGCTACTGTCCGCACCGATATCAAGAACCTCAATCAACGCCTTGTGTCCCTCGAAAGGACGGTTGTAGGTCTCCACGACAATGTGTTGCGTCTTCGGACTTCTATGGATGCCGAAAGCCGCATGCTGTCTGTTGTGTACAAAGATTTGTTGGTCAGAAAAGCAAGGTGAGTGCGCATAACGCTATGCTTTATTGTCATACTAGAACTTGGTAGGGAGCACAACACACACGCGACAGCCTATAATGCTCAAGCCGACCGACATACGATTCTGCTATCTATCCACAATCCGAGGACAAATGAGCCCATTCGTGGTTTTCCCGAGACTTTGGAATGTATTGACAATATGGGGGGTAAGTACAAGCTATGGCGTGGGCTATCGACAAGTACGAAGCTGACCAACCATTCTTGTAGATCATCAGCTCGAATATCTGTTCCGCGGACTTGACCCCAATCATGTTCCGAGCTCTTGGACTCTTGAACAAGGGCGAGCGCGGCTCATGGCTATTATCCAAGGTGTCGAGGAAGTTCAACCAGCCGAGCCACTGCCTACAAGGTCTCTGGAGCATCACTCACAAGATTGATAGCAGGATGGGAAGAATGAACTTCATGCGCAAGCACGTAGCCGCCATGCCGAGTCGCTAGTCACGTTGCAGGAAACAGACGGTTTGGAGACTTGGATATCGAGATGTATAAGGACTACTATTCGTCTTTGTAGTCAAACCCTTCGGGGATTCCGAAATATATCAGCTTGTACCCAAATTATAGACCACCGCATAGTCTGTCAAAGCTCAGCTGTGTAGGTCGCGCTTGTTCTTCCGGCTGCCTACTTAAACGGGCAATGAGGACTGGATACTCCTCGCACAACTTCGTGAACTTCTCCAATGTAGCAATGTCGAAATTCTTCATGCGTATACCCAACTTTAGTGCGGAAGCAAGGTTCTTCTTGCTGTCCATAGCGCATTCTTCAAATCCACGTAAGTTCTTG